TTTGTTTTATAATATATTTTAAAAACCTTTTTTACAAATATTAATATATAATCTATTTTATAAATGTATTTAATATATAATTTATTTAATACATATATACCAGCAACACACCAAAATCAATATATATATATATGCACCTAATTTTGAGAAAAAATAAATAAACGCGTACCTGTTGATGCTCCCTTAAACGTGAAACTCCTTCTAAAACAAAATTTGAGATTTTTAAATCACTATTTATATACATGCAGCAAAACAGTAAATAAATAAAAAAAATTAATTACAAAATAGTTATAATATAACAAAAATATTTACTTAATATTTATAAAATATTTAAACGAAAAAAAATTATACCTTTAATGTATAACAAATAGAAATAGTAGGAGGGGTGGAAGAAGGAGGGTGGAAGAAGAAGGGTGAAAGAAGAATACAGAGCAAGTAAGGAAGAGAGAAAGAATAAGAAATTTGTAATGAATGAGAAACAATCTGAAAATTTAATGGGTGGTGTTTACAAGGGGGCTCCCAACGTCGGGTCTAACGGTCATATTTAGTGAGGGTCGGCCCCTAGCTAAATATTAACGTGTCAGATGCTTTGTTGCAGGGTGGTCGCGTGGAGACAATTGGCGACAGGGTACCCCACGCAGAAAGTAAAAATCACATCAGCGAGGGGTTGCCCCTAGCCATTAATAATGTGTGACAGTCCTTCTTCTGTCATACGTAACAACATAAATAAATGTTTTTCAGGGCGGTTTGACTAAAGTAATTAACATGGTGAGGGAACACCCCTCGCAAAATGTGTATTTTAAATTGGTGAGGGGCTGACCCCTCGCAAACTGTCAACGTTGCCGGCATTTTTGGCGTTGTCCCCTACCAAGTGCAACTTTCAAAATTCAAATTTTGTTGCGAGGGGTATCCCCTAGGCATTAGTTTATATTTCTTTTTCTTACTCTTTTATGCATTGCGAGGGGTTAAACCCCAAACTACTCAGTTTTTTTAGTGAGGGGCTTTACCCCTAATCAATTCTCCTAGTTAATACCAACTTTTCTTGTAGTGATATAAAAGGTGGAAAAAAAAGAGAGAAAGTTGAGAGTGTAGAAAATAGTATTGGAAGAGTAATGTTCAAAGATTTTTAAGCATTTGTCGCAAAGAATAGTAGTGTCTGATACAAGACAAGAGATCCAATTGACATGAAAAAGAAAAGAAAATTTTCTAACGATAAAATGCATATTTGGCAAGTATTCTCTATTTCGGTTGAAACTCAATTTGTTTGTCTATCACCCGAGTTAATTATTTTGATAAATTTTGTGTATAGTTAGTTTGCTTTTTCTGTGTGTAAATTTGTAATACTTAGATCTAGAGAGATGTGCCTCTTTTAGTTTAGTTTACATTATTAGTGATGATTTTGATGTTTTATCAATTACCAGTAATTATTAGAAATATATTTACTTAAAAAAGTTCCAAGCCAATTTATTATGTATAAGTCAGGTCTAATATAAAAGTTTATTATGGTATTAGAGCATAATATTAGCATTTGAGAATTACATAACTAACTTGCACTTGAAAAAAGAAGTGATAGTGTTTTTTTTTAGCATTAGCATAATGACTTCAATGTTCTATATATACAATGAGGTGATGAATCACCATAGCTAGTTTATTATGTTCTTATAGGATTGTTACTTAGAGACTAAGTAATCATAATGAAAAATAACTAACTAACTAAAAGAGACAATTTAACTAACTTTGAAGCTTAACTAACTTCTTCATCATTGTGTAATAGTTTCCACAAGTTGAATTTGGTATATCCGTATATATCGAGCAAATTTAAGTTGAACATAAAAACTGAGAAAGGTTCAGACAAAAGAGACTTGGTAAATCATATTTTTTAACAGTGTAATCTATAGCTATGATTTCACCTTCATCCTTGAAAGAAACTGAAAAAAGTTCAAGACAATAACACACAACCTTAGATCACAAAACCAAAACACATTATAATCTATAGCTATGATACATTGATTTGTTTATAAAAATAAAGTCTTAACTCTATAAGTACAGAAGCATCAAATTAATTTTGAGTCAAATTGATGATAAAATCACATTTATTACTTCTATTTCAAACAAAATTTTGACTCTATATCTAAACCTCTAGAAATTTTCTGCAATAATTCAATTGTTGTCTATATAGTAACAAAAGTAAAACTCGAAGCAAACACATACATTAAGTACATAGTCATTAGATAAAGAGTTAAAGATAAAATAGTGGTAATTGAGCACATTCACATTGATCTAATGATCGCTAATCCTTTGACCAAGGTCATGTCACCACTGAAATTCAAGAATCATGTAGAAAATATTGGATTTGGTTCCATTGTATACATTTGGCAAAATATCCTTCTTGGTCCCTTAACTATACCTCGGGGTTCATTTTGGTCCTTTAACTTTAAAAAGTTTCATATTGGTCCCTTAACTCTTCAAATGTTCCATATTAGTCCTTTTTGACCTATTAGCGACGGATTTAGCGACGGTTTTTTGATTTTTTTTCCGTCGCTAATAGATCAAAAAGGACTAATATGGAACGTTTGAAGAGTTAAGGGACCAATATGAAACTTTTTTAAGTTAAGGGACCAAAATGAACCCCGAGGTATAGTTAAGGGACCAAGAAGGATATTTTGCCTATACATTTAGTTTATTTGTGACGTTTTTTCATATTCATGGGAACTATAGTTTTTTTAGAAAATATATTTTGTTTAGACCATAAATAAATAAATAAATAAATATATGATTAATTCATTAAGTTTCTCATACTTATGAAACTAAACATGTCGTTATATATAGATGATAATACTCACGATTAGAAAAACTATCAATATAATTCGCGTGTCTGTTTAATATGATGATTTAATTTAGGACAATAATTAAATCCTATAGACTAAATGGGGAATTTTTTTTAACATAATCAAGTAATAATTTTAATTTACCAAAATAACCAAGCATTTAGAAAATTGTCTAAAATGGCTATGAAATCAACCTTGGGTCGTCATTTGAAATGGCGAATGTGTTGAAATTGGATTTTGCAGAATATCAATTCGCCATACCATCTGGCGAATGTGTTGAAAGTGAGTTTTGCAGAAAATCAATTCGCCATACCATCTGGCAAATGAGTGTTGTGGTGGATTCATGCGCCATCCTGATTGGCGAATCAGTGCAATACTAGGGTTCCAAAAATCCATTTTTGCTTCGTTTATATTTTTATTAGTTTTTAATAAATTTTAATAATTGATTAATAATGTTTTATTCTATTTTTTAAATACTTTATTTTAAATACCTTATTTTTAATTGAAATTTA